ATTATAAAAATATCTTATAGATAAATAACAAAATTTTACAAAAGAGAGATTGAATAACTGAATGAAAATAAGATGATAGTATTATATACAAATACATATGTTTAAAATAATGAACAAGTTGTGTTAAAATTATTAAAACACCAACCGATGAAGAGATGCATGGACATCAGTTCATTCAAGACTATTAAATTGCAATCAGTACCTCTCTGATTCATAAAAATCATAACAAAAATGGAGGAAATCAATAAAAATAGAATATTTGTATATATTCATTTATAAAACGATTCAGAGGAGTTAAAATCCCTGCACTCTTTTTGAATTTTATCGCACCCCCTTCGTGCTACGCCACTGGCACAGCCTTTGATCCAGTGAGATATTTACGACTCGCCGGGTAAACTCTTCCACATTTAGTCATCTGCCTGCCTCGCTGCTGTTCGGTTCGGCACTGAGCTGCTGGATCATTGTTTATGTGGTCATCGTCTCGGTCTTGGTCTCTGTCTCTGCTTCCGCCTCTGTCTCGATTTGTTTATTGTAATTCTAACAAACACATTCACACATTGCCACCATGCACAGCATGCGCCTATGGAATCTGAAGCGGCTGGCGCTGCTGCTCGGCGCGGTCGTCTTACTGTACTTATTCGTGTTCTCTGGCGGCTATCACAAGTATCAAATAGACGGCGTTATCGACAATGCCAGACCGGAAGCAGTTTGGGAGTATGTGGCGGACTTCAACAAAATGCGCCTGTTGAATCCCACAATGTGAGTATGCGCCCGCGTCTCGGATAGCAACAACTAACGCGAGCTTCGCGCACCAGCATCAATTTTAGAATTCTCGCCGATCAGGGCCACGCCCACGACTGGCGCTACACGGTAAGGTATACGGAGCGTCTGTCGCACTGGCCGCACTGGCTGAACGAAGCCACCGCCCACTATGTGGTGACCAAGACCCTGCCGGGCGTCCATCCGCCCGCGTGGTCCATCCAATCGACACACGAGACCTGCTTCCTCGGCGGCCACTACTGCCGTAAGTGCTCGAGCAGTCCAAGCACATGCTTGCACGTTTCTCATGAATTGCATTTGCTTTTCATTCCAATTATTTTTTTCAGTGCACTCGCGCAGCGAATTCAGTTTCAGCTCAATAGGAGCGGGCACATATGCCAATGAGAAGATCCAATATCAGTGCCCGCCGTTCCTGGGCACCGCCTGTCGCCGCGAGCTCGAGTTCCAGCGCCGCGCTGTGATGCACAATCTGACTCAGATATTCAAGCGGGCTTAGTCCCAGGTCAGCGCCTGCAATAATGAAAGTCTCGTATTCCATTCTATTCATTCTTTTGCTCTATTTCTTTGTATTTTCACATCTAAAAAGTTTTAAAATTACATTGTATTGAATGATCAACTCAACTAAATTAACAAACAGAAATTGTTGCTAAGTATTTGTTCAATTATAACAAAACAATTAAAATACATGATTCCAATGTATACTAAATCGAAAATTCAGGCATAGTATAGAATATTCTTTACAAATTGAAATGCTTGCCTCCATAAAATATACAAATATATATGTGTATATATATATTTTGTGTTTTATAAATAATTCATCGATCTGTGAATAGACATCACAATTGAAATTCTGCAGTGAAAGATCTTTGTATTAGATTCTCTAAACTCCTAGCTTGAGGTACATGCTATAAGCCATAAAAAAAATTTAATAAAAAAAGAATTAAAATTTATAAGAAAGAAAAAAAAGTTGATAACTAAGTCTGGTTGGGTTGTTAGACAATGGGACTTAGATTTTGATAAGAGTTTTGGCAAATTTTCTTAGCTCGACTCGCTACATAGTCTTGAGTCTCTCGAGTCTTTTGAATAGATCACGTCGTCAACTTGATATCGATATCGAGTCACTTGTCCAGCACTAGTCGCTTGCGTTTCTTCGCTCCCGCGCTGCGCGCCAATCGGGCGCGTTCGGCTGCCTCGGTAGGCAACACAGGTGTGCTAGGCGCGCTCTGGGATCCGCCTGAGATGGCCGTGCCAAACCAGCGCGTCAGCTTTGTAGATTGCGTGGACTTGACCGGTTTGGGTGACTTGCGCAGCAATTGGCTGGATTGGGTACGCTGGCCAGTATCCTCCGGAGCACCACCAGAGCTGATCAGATAGTTTGTGATTTTGTTACGCTGTGCCAGCTGCTGTGGCTGCACGGGCGACACGTTGCCTGTGGAGTCAACTCGCAGGCGACTGCCGAATTCCCCATTATTAGTTATCTCGAAGATGTCGTCGTCCAGCAAGGTGAACCGACGCTGTGGTAGCTGCTGCTTGGGACTGGGCAGATCCGCCAGCAATTGAACACCCGGCTCGTTATGATTAGCCTGATGGGGCTCAAACATTTTCTCCAAAAGTTCCAGGCAGGAGCGTTCGCGCTTCCTTTTAGCCGGCATGCCTACACCTGTTTTGTCATGCAGCTGCTGATGCGACTGCCTCACCTCCGAGCCGAATATCTTGAAGCCCTCAAATGGCACAGGCTGGGCTAGCGAAACTTGCGACGCTTCCGAGCAGTTGCTGAAGATGTCTGGGGATTTGTTCACCGAGCCGCGGTGCTGGGCCAGCATGAGGCCGAATCGGGAGGTGGTCGGCTGGGACTGTTGCTCCTTGGCAGGAGCTACAGACTTCCTCTTCAATGCTCGAGTGCGCCGGGATTGCGATGGCTTAGTCGATGGCTGCGAGCTCTCATCATGGGAACTATTGATCACCACGACATCTGGCTTTGGGTTTGGACTGGGCACGACAGCCACCTCGGAGCCACTAAGCAGATTCAGGTTCACCGGCAACAGCAGCTGAGTTGTCGGCGGTGCGTGCGGCACCCGAAACTCGGGCAGTTCCAAAGCCTCAAGTTCTGCGAGGTTCTCTGGGAGCTTTTGTGCGCATTGCAAATACGAGTTATCAGACAAAATGGAACCAGAGCTTAGTATCTCAGGCGTTGCAGCGAGAGCAGCTGTCACGGGTTTCGAGCTGGTCAAACAATTTTTTTGACTGCCAAGAGGAGAATTCGGTAGATCGGGCGTAACTTCTGATGAAGCCGTTACAACTTTTGGACTGGCCTTGCTCTTTCTTTCGTTATTGGGAGCAGATTCCGATGGCTTCAAGGTGGCAGCGGTCGGAGCCTTAATCGTTTTAGAAGTTACCTTTTCGACTTTTTTATTGTCAGGCAAAGAGGTCAGCTTATTCGAAAAATGTTCCTTTTCCGCTCGGCTCCTGGTCGTCCTTTTGGGTTCTGGTTCCTTTTGGTTCATTTTCATTGGCGTTGTCTTTGATGTCCTAGGCGTGATTGCAATCTCTTGCTTCACAGTAGCCTTCTCCTTTTTGACCTTGCTACTTTTGGGCGTTTGATTAGCGCCGGAATTGCGTTTTCTTCTGGGTGTCCCTTTCTTCTCATAGTCCAGCGCCTTCAGCTGCGTCATGTACTTGCTGTTCGACCGTGACTCCGCCGAACGCGTTAACCTTTGCATTCCACGCGTCTGTCTGGGTTCCACGTCAACGTTTTTATTTCCATTAGAGCGTCCTGACCTTGGCTCAGTTTTAGGCGTAACTGGCAACAATGTGTCACGTTTCGGAGTTTTCGGCTCGGGTTTTATAGGTGACTTCGGCTTACGCGGAGAATTGGGTGATCTCTTAGGCGAAGCCTTGACAGTTCTCGTCGGCAGCTCCGACGCTTTTGCTAAGTTTGTGGGGTTGCTCTGTATGGAAGCTCGTCTTAGCCTCACGTTAAGTACTTTCCTTGTTATCGTCGATGTATTAGGTGGCTCTTCCGTTTCCGATTCGGTCAGCTCCACTAAGTTTGGAACTTGTACACGTTTCGTGTATTTTCGTTTGGCTGGTGAGTTCGATGTCATTGGCGCCGATTGCGACGACTCAATAATTTCGCAATCATCGCTGGAAAGCAATACCACATTAGTGCTGCACTTGTTCGCATCGGCATCCGCTTCAACCTCAGGTTCTGATTCGGACTCCAAAATCAAAGGCTCCATGGCAATCACGTCATCACTGTGCTCAGACAGCGATATTTTATCTGGCTCCTGGCGTTCCGCCAACTGTCGCTCCTGTTGAAGGCTTAATAGACAATCAAAGATTTCATCCGTGTCGCCTGTGGAGGGAACTTCTGATGTCTTTGATCCTACAGTAGAGTCACTTATTGTGCTGTTACTATTGTTCTCGCCCAGCCACAGAGAGACGTTCCTCTTGTATTGCTCGGCCGTGACAAGAGGCAGGCATGAATCGAACTGATGGCGGTAGCGACGAAGACGATAATCCCTGCAAGTATAATTCAAAATGTTCATAAAATTATTATTGAGATATTAGTAAATGAGTTTAAATTTACTGCTGAGGTTCACCAACTTGATGTATTCGCCGAGGATACCCCGCTGCTTATAGTACTCCTCGAGATCGACACGCTTGCTTAGCACCTCCTGAACATCTGGTAGATGAAACTTGCTCTCGAAACTTCTAAAGCTATTGAATTGATGATCCAAACAGCCTCCCAATTGCATCACCTTATAGAGCAACTTAACGTCAGACTGGAAAAAGGATCAAGTTCTTATGCTTAGACTTTCATATTTTTATATATATAATGCTATTACCGTTATGTCCACACTAGAGATCACAATGTTCACTTTGCCTTCGAATTGCTTCAGCAGCATGGAAGTGCAAAAGTTATTATTTAATGTGTATCCGCGATGATCTACAATGATATAGTCAAAATTCAGCTTGCTGAGATCGCCTATGCTGCGTAATACACTCCACTTGCTCAGATAAACGCTATGCGCCGACTCTGTGGTGTCTACAAAATAGACGTGGATCATTTTATATTATTTACATATGTATAATTATTTATATAAACCATAAATACCATTAACATCCTTAATAACGCATACGGGCAAATCAGTGAGCACTCCCAGGTGAAACTGCCAGCCAGCCAGCAACTGCTCATCGTTYTGCAACACAACTAGCGTCTTCTTGGCCGTTCCCAGTCCGCTTAACAGGCCCACAACAGACGCTGTTTTGCCCAAACCGCTCTCATCATTCAAAATGCAAAACTCTTGTTGGGACAGACGCTTATAGAGAAAACGCACTGCTTCGAGTTGAAAGCTCTTTAAGTACTGCGTCGTCTTGCTGGGAATCAGCACGTTCTCGGAGACGCGTACTTCCGCTGTTCGCTCTGAGACAAAGTGATACATTTGCCCCTTTTTCGACCTATTTATATGTGGACGTGGTGCAGCGCCAAATAGATTGCCACGAGTATGTACAGCAGCTTAAGATATGAAAATATCAGAAACATTGAAAACGAGCCAATTATCATTCTCTTGGACGTCAGCGGTCCATCCACATATTCACTATTAAAAATATCCACCAAGTTGTTATTGTTATAGTTGTTATTGTAGACGATATGCATGTGTGGAGTAAATGCAGCAGGTAGACGTAGGTAGAAAAAAGGCGCGTATTCTACGGGCGGGAAAAATGTTTTACTTTTAGTGCTATGCCTTCTGGTAGCTGTATTTGGCATTCACTGGAATTATATAAAGAATTTTATATTTATCTACTATTTCAATATAATATGCATTTTTAAATGTATTTTAATCACAAGAAAAATTCGTCGCTCTTGTTGTGTACCTTTTTTCGCGCCTTACAACACTGAACTTTGCACACGTTAAAGATGAACGATGTACACTGCTAGAGATGGACACATTGCAAATATTTGCGTGTTCATCTAAAATTGACTTTACAAACATAATTTATAACTAGAAAAAATAAAACGCTCATCTAAATGACCTTACTTAGATAATCATAAATGTGGGATATACTATCTACATATGTATTGTGACTTGGTGAAGAATAATCACGATATCGATAGTAACATTCAAGACTCGTTACATGTGTTTTTGTACTTAACAGTGACAGCTACATTCCACAAGTGTTTGGACGCGCTTCATAACAATTGAATTTATAACTAAATCATGGTCGCCGCCAAAGAAAAAGAGCCGAATGCGAAAAGAAAACATGCCGAGGGTCCTCTGACTGCAACAACAGCACCTCCGCCTGCTAAACAGAGAATGGTTGTCACACCTTGGCGTGACACGTGCGTAAACACATGGTGATTGGCTCTAATAAGGCTCCCTAAAATCTAAACTGTTTTAATTTTTAGCACAGAGTTTAGCTCTGTATACGACTGGTTATTTGGAAAGCAGTCGTCACCTGCAAATCTTCGCAAGGCTCTTAGCCACATGGGAATATGGAACTTGCGACGGGGCAGCCTATGTCCGGCTTCCGTGATGGCGACTGCCGTGCTGGTCAAGGCACAGCTGGAGGATAAAGAAGGCAGCGACAACATACAGTCAATATATGCAAGCGCCTTCACGCGCTTCTTCAACTTTATGTCCTCGATTATGCAGAATTACAACATGTCTAGCATGTACGTCACGGCTCAGCAGCTTGGCCTGCAGTCTTTCATCGTGGACTTGAGGCACTTGTGCGCTCATGGACAGGAGCTGCCGCCTGTGCTTGTATTGCGGCACACAGCCGCCCACTGCTTGGACTGGCTACGTACCTACTACTGGCTTCCACAAAAAGAGAGACTGAGTAATCTGGATGCGCCAAAGCTGCAGCGGAAGGATGTGGTCAAATTTGAGAATGAGGTGGGGACTCTTTTTGAGATGTTCGATTTGGCCTTAGAATGCGAACTGAACGGTGCACAAAAGTTGAAGTCGATCAGTAAACTGAAGCCTAGCGCGGAGTTCAACAAAATTCGGGTTTATTGTTCCACGAGAAAGCTGAAAATTAGTAAAGAGGTACTTGATACGGTGGTCAGTGAATTGGGCGTAGCTGTGAAAAGACAAAATTCGGCAATGAAGGATTTGCTTGACATTTATATGGCGGGTGTGCTTAAAATGAAATATTTCCTAGGCGCAGGCCTTGCGCACAGCGACAACGAGGAGCTCGTCATTAAGGCTACCCAGGGCCTCTTCCGACTGCTGGCCATGCAGGGCTACATAGAGAATATGTTTGTAGCATTCGTGCAATTATCAGAGAATACAACTGAATGCGATGAGAGGCGGCGAGGCGCAAGTTATTGGGCCACAAAGATGCTACAGACTTTTGGCATGCTGTGCCGAATGAAGCGCATGTACAAAGAGGAATTAGATTCGGTAAGCATTTGAAATAGACTGTCGCCATTTCTACAACGTTTTCTTATTTATAGAACTCCAATATAAAGGCTGTGGATTTTACAACACTTAACAAATCGGAGATATCAAAAACTATGCGTCGTCTGCTTATTCACTCGGGTGTGGATCAGAGTCTCACATTGATTTTTGGCGAATGTCCAAGGAAGCCTCGCTCTTGGGTATTTGAGCGAGAATTTCTAATGAATAGACTTGGTCCGCTGAATAAATACTCAGTACCCATTTTGAAGGGGTAAGATAAATTTTTATTTAGTTGCAAATAGATTTTAATTGTTGTTT